CCTACTTTGGCTTGAATAGATTGCAACTNGGGAATCAACAGTATCAATTTCCTCTGGAGTCATTCTATCGATGACTTTGTCGAGCGAATCACCAAGAATCTTTGGTCGACATGTTTCTAACCCATACCCGCAAACGTACAAAATGCATTGTGCGTTTCAACAGAGCAACATTGAACCATTCCTAGACATACCATAGGATCAGTAAGTAGCAACATATAAATCAATACACGCACCCTGTGTTGCCTGTTCCCGTCCAAGGCAGGATGAGGTTCTTCATCGGGATAAAGACGCCAAATCATCCCCTCCTTGTCTTGCTTCGCCAGAACCACGTACTCTCTAACCTGAGAAATTGAGCGCCAGTACTTCTTCTCGTTAGAAACGTCCAGAATTTCAGCAGCCGTCATCCTTGCTGGTGGGTGTCTCGTACCCTCAAACTTCCGGAAAATAAGGTTGTCTACACCGGAAGGAGAGTACTGGCAGCTCTGGGTTCTGAGTACGCTCGTCGACTACCACCCATTCATTGGGATTGAGCCTAAGTTGTTTTAAGCGCCACTTATTGAGCGAATTTCATTTCGTTGAAAAGCGTACTGGGATGGAATGAATCAAAGGGAATTTGGCCAGGCGAAACATTGCCGACTCGTAAATGATGAAGGAAAGGACAAGAATCAACGCTTTGATCGGCGAGCACGCGCAATACCTTCTTGTTGAAATTTCACGTTCACGGCAGGCATCGTTTGGACCTATGGTGGTAGTGAACAGGTGAACGAATCAACGAAAATACGGCAAACATTACGACTCATTTCTCCTTATCATCCACTCCTCAAGTTCGTCCAACATCATGGCCTTGAGTTGCACCATAAACAGCTTTGTGACAAAGGTACGCCTATCGAATTTTGGACTTCTTTCTTCCAATGTAAAATTGCTACCCTCAGTAACAGAAGCGCGTGATGATCAAGTCCTGCTAAAGGCGGCCACCACTCTGGAAACACATACAGTACAAGTCTTCGTACACAACCAGTACGTCGGTGTAAATCACAACTCATTGAAGCACTAGGTAACACCCCCCACATAAACCCACCATAATCGCATGGCTTCGACCCTCCTTTGTACTCCCCCCTTGAGATCCCAATCCCGCCATCCAAGTTTACATGGCCGACCTAGTGCCAGTCATAATATGGGAATCAAATCGAAGCACCCTCGTCGAGAAATCACTGAGGTTTCAACCGCCTCTGCTTCGACTCCACGCTGTTCAAGGAAGTTGTCTGCACGCAGTGATGCCAAAGCCGCACGAGGACGTAGCCCATCTTGGGCCAAATAACGCAGAGTGACGATCAGAGGCTGGAAATGGAGAATGCAAGGGTGTGCCAGTGCGAACAAACATGGCGGAAAGAGATCGCGCCCGTCCCGGCCCTTCCAATCATCCAAATTTTTCCTTCCGCCTCAATCCCTCATTCCACTTCGAATCCCGCGTCTTCCGCCTCAACTGCCTCTTTTCCACTTCAAATTTCATCAGCCCTTCATCCAGATCCTCATCCAAACTTCCCTGTATCGGACAACATAAACTCTGCTTCGTCGTTTATGCTTCATCGCCACGCGAAGTTCTTCCTCCATTGCTAGAATTCGCGTGCCTGAGGATGTTGTGTTTGATTTCAGGTTTCCAGTGAGGAGAAATGCCAGGGTTTCCGTGGACCTGAATGACGTGAAAGGAAGTTGAGATCTAAAAAAGGTTGGACGTAGCATCGCAGACTGTGCCCACAAAGCAGCCACCACCAGCTCCATCTACCTCTCCACCATCTCTGAATACGACCTATATTGGCACTACGTCCCGGGCCTCGTCTGCGAAGGCCTCTTTCGCATCTTCTCAGCCTCGATGAGGAAGGCCCCAGCTCCTACTCTCAAACTCCATGGGCCTCCATGACTCTCGTGAAGATGTCCATCAGCAACGGTACTTCTGGCCCGAGAGATTTTTGGGAAGGAGGAGTATGGGTTAAAGGACCTTAATGAGCCTGCGGCTTTGTAGACAGCAACGTGGGTGCAGAGTGGGGTGGCCTCAAGTGTGTGAAGATTTCGATCTTGCGCTCTTCACGGTGAGTTGTTTCTTGCGCTTCGCCCCTTTTCTGAAGCTGACTATTCTTGCCGTTAAGGACATCGTGGCGTTCACTACCATCTGATTTCTTGACCACTGGACGGGACATTATCCTTCCCTCACAAAAGTTGTAAATTGCAAGTGTAGAAGTGGTGTCCTGTAAGGTCTTACGCTTTTACGGAAACTTCTTGATCTAATTATGAATCGAAAAGTGAAGTTGTGCGTCATTGAGGTCGCCAGCAAAGCACTCTTCGGTGTCATCTTCTCCAGAGTGACAATGTTTGTGGGGGCCCAGCCTTAGGTTCAAAACCGAGCACCCTTCCTGTATTCCAAGCCACATTGGGAGTAGTAGGTTTTTGCGCAGTGTGGAATCGATAGTATACGCGAAGGGAGCAGGCTTCCCCTTCCCATAGACCGTGGCTGCAACTTGTGACGTGTTAGGCACTGCCAGCCTGGCGCTCATACAAACTAGTACCTTCATTCTGCGCGCACTGCTTGTGAGTTCTTCTCGACCTTTTTACCTCGGACGAAGCTGATCATTCTAGATATAAAGAGAATCGTCCCCCACTTCGACTCTCACACACTCCCTGATAATCAGTCGCGACAAGTCTTGACTGCAGAAGGGTTGTACAACTCGACGCCCATGATCGGCTCAGATTGCGGGTTCGTCGTATGGAAGGGCCTGCGCGTGTTTCACCAAAATGACGTGTCCAATCAGAAGGGGCGAACTCGTGCATCTCACCACTATAGATCCTACTTTTACAAGCAGGATATGGACGTTTCAAGACAAGGTGGGTCTGTTATATCCGTTCTCCCTTGTCTGTATGCTTACCAACAACAGGTTCAGGATCACGACGACAGTCACGACACCCAATGGTTCGGACAGCTCAACGTGGTGAGATGGTAAGCCCTCATCGACGGGAGCTCTTCATATCTGGTTGTCAATCAGTTACCTTTCAGGCTGCCAGAAAAGCACTCCTCACCGTTCAAGACCGACGGACTGACCGACCCAGTTCCCCCAAGGGTTTCTCATCGGCGACTCCAAATCCAGTGCCCAGAACTATGTAGACGTGCAATGCTGCTTAGCGCGGAACGGAAGAAGCTGGTCTGTGCGGTCAGGTGGGTTGAGTGTGATGTACGAACTATGCATACTCATCTTGGCTTTCTATTAGGGCAACGGGAAACATAAAATGGAACGTCGATTTTGGTGCAACCACCCCACCAGCTACAAACCTTTGTCCGAGACTGGTTGGAAGGACATCTGGATAATTACATGACCACTACACTAGCCATGACGTCGGCAAACTGGAACCACAAAACCTTCGTATTTAGGACTTGAATTGGTTGAAGAGTCGGAATCGCAAGTCGTACGTTGTCTATGCCTGTGCCGCATTTCCCTAATCCCTTCCTGCACAGATCGGCTCTACAATCGCTGCCACTCTGATTGACAGGAATGTCGTGTGTAATCACGTACAGCCTTTTCCGCTCGAACTCAAATTGCAAGTCCCTGTGAATGGTAGTCATTCTCGTTTGCAACTCTCTGTCGTAACTAACGTAATTGCTGAATCCTACTCTAGGACGAAGTCAAAGGACGACCCGATTGAATACTGCTTTCAACGTTTCACCGAACGGAACCACTCCGACTCCTTAAAACCCAGGAATAGCAGCCGCCAGCTCTGTCTGGATTGACGTCCGTTCGAGTTTGCATCGCAGGAGTATTCCTGCGGCGTCCCAGAGACAGGTGCTTCGAACGTGTGAAAGTTGGGTTATGAAGCAAGCGTCATTTGCTGCTCACCGTCATTGGTCTTCAACGATGCAAACGCTCTTTGACCGTGGATAGACTGAATGCTTGAAACGAACCGGGGCGAAGCCGTTAACTGTACACTAACAAAGTCTCGTTGAGAACTTGCTGGTCCAAGTGGTAGTAACCCTGTCCAAGGGGGGGAAAGGCAAGTGAAAATTCACTTCTTGGGGTTGTATGGCGTAGTTCTGATATCTCTCTGGGGCTAGCTTTCTGTTGGACGATAGAACGACTCGCTAGCCGTGACGGCAATGAAGAAAAGAGCGAATATATTTTGGTAAGGACAACATGAGTTGTGTCATTCGATGTGGATGCACATTGCTCACAGGCTTTGATGTAGCCTTATCCCCTGATAGTGGGGAGCATTCGGCGGGGAGCATTCAAGATTGAAGGTACGGCTTTAGGCAACCAATAAACGTGGAAACTATCGCGATTCATGGACAAATGAGTAGGGGGTGTGAGAAGGGAAGATGGGGGAGAACAGCGAAAGGATGGCTGTGGCGATTCTTGGCTGAGACGGGGGCTTCATTGACAAAATGGGATGGCACATCACGATAGAATTGTAGCTCATAATCGTACCAAAGTAGGATTTAGTCTCGTACTGCTCATTTTACAGTCACTTCTTCAGCCTTCCAGGTCTTCAGTCACCGTAGTTTGAGTCCTCTATGTGGTTGATGAAGGAAAATGATGTCGTGGAAAGAAGCCCGCTACCGAGAAGACTTGTCTGTGCTAAAAGGCGAACTCACGCCACTGCTGGAGCTTGAATGGCGACTCGAAGGGGCATTCACCTGGACTGGAATAAGGGTTCAGGGAAAGTTAACCTACTCACCCTCCCCTCGCCGTTTGGTTAATGTTCAGATCTGGCAACAAACATGCGCGCTTTCACGATCGTCGTGGGCAGATTGAGACTTGAAAAGCTCAGTTGGGGAGCCAAGGACGTGTGTATATATTGGAAATTCCATTCGAGTAAAGGGAATAGAGTTGTACGAACGGAAGAACGAAATTGAGAAAAGAGCCGTGAGTCAGTGACGTCACTCCTGTGACTGACCTAACCAATACACAGCCCACTGCGCTTATCTCGATTCTTCACCACTTCCACCATCTCAGGCATCCCAGCGACAAATGTCTCTTTCCAATGTTGAATCCCAAGCCTTAGAAGATATCGAAAGACAACGAACACGAGCAGACCGACTTCGATGGATCGCCAAGCACTTTCGTGTCCTCATCATTGGCCGCGCCAACGCGGGGAAGACAACCATCCTCCAGCGAGTTTGCAATACAACGGAACAGCCGAAAATTTTCAATCAGAATGGTCATGAGGTATTACATGTTCTAGACATCATCATCTATCATTGATCTGGATAGATTGACTTGTCGGAGCTCAATCCAACTGCACAGGTAATGTGGATCTACACTCCCTATTACATTTTACTGAAAGTGTCGCAGAGAGGGGAGCATGATATTGAGAATGAAATGATATTTGAGAGCAATACAGCATTTGTCTTTCATGACTCACGTGGCTTCAAAGCAGGCAGAACATCTGAGCTCGATAAAGTCAAGGACTTTGTGCGAAAATGTTCAACCAACAAAGAGCTCAAGGATCATCTGCATGTGATTTGGTAAGTGACTGAGTGGCAACATTGAAGTGCATCTGAATACATCCTGTGTAGGTACTGCATCCCAATTAATGATGAAGCCAGACCATTTACAAGAGCAGAGTTAAATTTCTTCGATGAGTGTGGGACTGGTAGAGGTGTGTCAATTATTGATAATCTCTTGAATTTCACCTTTCCTTTTTGTGCACAGTTCCTGTTATTGTCCTGTTTACAAAAGCAGATATGCTTGATGCCCAAACCATCAACTGGCTGGTTGATACTGGAATGGATGCTGAAGATGCTGCAAATAAAGCTCCAGAAGAGTCACTTGCCAGGTTTGAAGAGAAGTTTGGTCAGCAACTCTACAAGAAAAAGTATCCTCCCAAGGATCATGTGTATTTTCGAGGTATGACAAACTCATTAATTCATAGACAATGGATTAATTGCATTTAACAGACATGCAAAATCCTACAAGTGACTGCAGTGAACTGCTGAGGAAGACAGCAGCCACCTTTTTGTAAGAGGGCCAGAGAACCGACACATAACTGTTACACCAAAAGGCAGATAACTGAACAGTTAATTGTTCAGTCACACGGTTCTATATATGGTGTTGGACCCTGATCCTATAGGTTACGGCACAGTAGGTAAGCCGACCAGGATTACACTTTTCAGATGATAATACACTCTTACAGCTGTTTCTCACAGTGCAGCAAACTAATGTGGCTCTGTCAATTGAATATGCAATTATAAGGTAATTGCTGCATGTTTAATTATATGCAGATAAATTATTGATTACCTAGAATAATAGAGTTATGTTTCCAGGAGGATATACAAGAGGAGACACACACACACAGATGAGGAGTAGGACACATCATGTGAGAAGCGACACACCTGGTAACAATGTGTCGTTCTTCGCGATTTCGCATTTTCGAGTGTGCCGTGCATAAATTCGAAACTCCGTTACGAGCGTGATGAACACTGTCACGACTTGGTCACGACCGCTTTCTCATGAGGATATACAAGAGGAGACACACACACACAGATGAGGAGTAGGACACATCATGTGAGAAGCGACACACCTGGTAACAATGTGTCGTTCTTCGCGATTTCGCATTTTCGAGTGTGCCGTGCATAAATTCGAAACTCCGTTACGAGCGTGATGAACGCTGTCACGACTTGGTCACGACCGCTTTCTCATCACCACCACGACCACCATTTGCTTGCCTGTGCCCCACCACCCCCTGCGCTCTCTTCCTCCTCACCTCGCACCCTTGCTATGGCCGACAAGGACCGAGAGAACGGTTACGGGCCCCTTCAGGTGAGTTCCGACTCTGTTCAGCCCCGTATTTGCTAACAACCCACCTCCCATTACCTGGCGAATGCCCAGCAGGGCAAAGCCGGGGCGCTCCTCCCACCTCATGCCACGTCCGCCCCCAAATCAACTCCCGTTGCAAACGCAACCTGTGGACTACGACTAACCGCCTGTGAAAACGCACACAAAACCACCCAACTACCCACGGCAACAACTCAGCGCCCAGGATAAACCACCCACGCTGACGGAATCAGCTCACGAAAATGCCCCAACAGACGGAATCCAGCGCTGAGGCCCATCGACGAGGACCCAGCGCCACTTGGCGAACCAACAGGCAATACAGCACCGTGCAGCCAGGTGCGTACCATGCGCCTCCCCACTAAACAGCCCCGAATGACAGCGAAAACGCCAGCGCCCTCTCCGACGAGGCCACCACTGTGTCTCACTCGACCACGGCCGCGGAGACCACATGTTGACACCCAAGGCTGTCGACGGTGAGAATTCTTGGTAGGTACATTCCGGGGTCGCGATGTTGCTCCCTCTCTTAGAATCTACGTATAACTTAATGTATAGTAAGTAGTGTAAGGAATAAAACTTATAATGTCAAATTTTACGTGAGCATGGAGAGGCTGATTTCGACTTAACCACAGAATTTTTGGTGTATATGTACTCAATATCTAATTTGGCCGTCACACATCAGATTTTCAATCCAAAAAGGGAACATTGTGGCGGAATTTATCGAAATAGTATGGATAAGATTCGACACACATTCCTGAATAAGTGACCGACATTTGCCATCAATGTGTTGAACATTGGACAGGTGTGTCGTTCTTCATCACGTGTGTCGTATTTCATTTCTGTGTGTGTGTGTCGACTCTTGTCCGTCCTGTGTTTCCAGGTTGGAAATTATTCAAAAGAAAGAGAGAGTGGAGGGAGATGGTTGATGAAATGTTGCATTATTTTCCACATATGGTATGTGAACCTTACTTGACCATACAGCTGCCAGTGTAGAACAAAATAATATATTTAAACAGGTGGTAAGCCAACATCCAGTTGGTTTCAAAAATATGCTAATGGGACCATGTGGTGGGTTATGAACAGCTGTGAGTCAGGATCTGGCTGGCCCTTCCAGCTTGTTGCTGATAAGAGCATGCTCTGGGTTTTGAACAGCAATGTAAGTCAGGATCTGGCTGGCCCTTCCAGCTTGAAGTTGCTGATAAGAGCATGCTCTGGGTTTTGAACAGGCTGTAAGTCAGGATCTGGCTGGCCCTTCCTGCTTGTTGCTGACAAGAGCATGCTCTGGGTTTTGAACAGGCTGTAAGTCAGGATCTGGCTGGCCCTTCCTGCTTGTTGCTGACAAGAGCATGCTCTGGGTTTTGAACAGGCTGTAAGTCAGGATCTGGCTGGCCCTTCCTGCTTGGTTGCTGACAAGAGCATGCTCTGGGTTTTGAACAGCATGTAAGTCAGGATCTGGCTGGCCCTTCCTGCTTGGTTGCTGATAAGAGCATGCTCTGGGTTTTGAACAGGCTGTAAGTCAGGATCTGGCTGGCCATTCCTGTTTGGTTGCTGACAAGAGCATGCTCTGGGTTTTGAACAGGCTGTAAGTCAGGATCTGGCTGGCCATTCCTGCTTGGTGCTGACAAGGGCATGTCATGGGTTTTGAACAGGCTGTGAGTCAGGATCTGGCTGGCCCTTCCTGCTTGTTGCTGACAAGGGAATGTTTTGGGTTTTGGACAGTCTGTGAGTCAGGACCTGGTTGGCCCTTCTTGCTTGTTGCTGACACAAGCATGCTCTGGGTTTTGAACAGCATGTAAGTCAGGATCTGGCTGCCACCTTCCTGCTTGTTGCTGATAAGAGCATGCTCTGGGTTTTGAACAGGCTGTAAGTCAGGATCTGGCTGGCCCTTCCTGCTTTTTGCTGATAAGAGCATGCTCTGGGTTTTGAACAGGTTGTAAGTCAGGATCTGGCTGGCCATTCCTGCTTGTTGCTGACAAGGGCATGTCCTGGGCTTTGAACAGGCTGTGAGTCAGGATCTGGCTGGCCATTCCTGCTTGTTGCTGACAAGGGAATGTTTTGGGTTTTGGACAGTCTGTGAGTCAGGACCTGGCTGGCCCTTCCTGCTTGTTGCTGACACAAGCATGCTCTGGGTTTTGAACAGCATGTAAGTCAGGATCTGGCTGGCTCCTTCCTGTTTGTTGCTGATACAAGCATGCTCTGGGTTTTGAACAGGCTGTAAGTCATGATCTGGCTGGCCTTTCCTGCTTTTTTCTGATACAAGCATGCTTGAAGGCTGGCCCTTCTTGCTTGTTGCTGACAAGAGCATGCCTTGGGTTTTGAACAGGATGTAAGTCAGGATCTGGCTGGCTCTCCCTGCTTCTTGCTGACAAGAACATGCTCTGGGTTTTGAACAGAAAGTAAGTCAGAATCAGGCTGGCTCTTTCTGCTTGTTGCTGACAAGAGCATGCTTTGGGTTTTGAATAGCAAGTAAGTCAAGATCTGGCTGGATCTTCCTGCTTGTTGCTGACAAGAGGATGCTCTTGGTTTTGAACAGGATGTAAGTCAGCATCTGACTGTTCTTCTCTACTCATTGCTGATAAGAACATGGCCTGTGTTTTGAATAGAAGGTAAGTCTCAGCCTCCTTCTCTTTTCATTTTGCTAAGCATCATGAGATTGTGAGTTCAGTTGTAGAGATTTAGAAAAATATTTATGAAACTTTACTTCTTCAAATAGAATGTGAGTATTTTATTTTTTCTTTCCATCTTTTTCAAAAACTAGTATTCACTGAACAAAATACTATTTCCAGGCAGAGGATGTCCTCGATCATACAGACTTTTCCTTGGTAAACCCCCACTGTGTTCAATACCCTGACTACAACATAATTCTACCTAGATTCACAATACCAAAACTTTTGAAGATGTTGCCTTTCTATGTATTGGTGTGTCTACTCTCATTTATGACCACTCTATCATGACTGCTATTTTACTGCTCAGTGACTGCTATCATTGCAGAGCACTCTTTCTTTCTGTGGAAACAGAAACATTCAAAGTCCACTGCCCCCTATGAATTAGCCATTCAAAAGCTCAACTCATCTGTCAACTTGACAAAAATCAAAACTGCCATCGAGGAGGCCTCTCATATGAAAACCAAGGATCAAAAGAAACAGGCCCTTTTAAAGATTGCTATGGATAATCGTTTTCGTCAGTATCAATATTCCAAGTCTTCCAAGGTCTTCCCCTCATTTATTTGATTTTAGCTTTATAAAAGTTTCAGCCCATCTTCCCAGAATTTCATAAATGCAGCACATATCTCTAGTTACCACCCATTATGATGCACCTTTTGCCTTATTGTTCACAAAAAAACAGATTGTGTCATTTGAACAAAAGAAAGTCAAGGATGGTAAAGTCCACCAGCTTTTCTTGTTTTCAAGATTCCACAGGTGCCCTAGAATTGTTGTATGGGAGTTCAAAGAGTTGTTGGAGGACCATGAGATGAGGTTTCCAAACTTTGTCAGAAAAACACAAAAGATACAGGGTAAAAGAAACAACAGCTTAGCAATGAAGGAGGAATTGTGTGGGGGGTGGGAATCAACTCAAAAAGACATAGTTGAGTCAACCTCAATAGTCGGCATGATGCTTGCAGAAAAACGACCAAATAAAAATCAGCCCTCATCCCCTCTTCCTCAGCCCCAGCTTGCAGGTGTTGAACATCCTTGGCACTCCCAGATGACTTTTGGCTGAATGGCCATTTCTTCTCTTTCTTAGAGGTGTCCTTGCCTGACAAAGAAGAGGATTTACCATGCTGTGTGAGCTGTTCTTCAACGACGCTAGTGTTTGGAAGTCTGGTCTGGTCTGGTCTTTTGGTGCCCAGTGCCTTAGACCGTAACCGTAACTAGTGTTTAAAGGTTCAGTCCATAGGACCGCAAAAAACTGGTGGACCAAACTGAACCAGACCATGGGCCAGTCTTTTTTTCGGTTGCAGTTGCCCCAATTTGGGGTTGGTCCAGTTGCCGGTTGCCTCATTTCGAAAATATATTAAAACCATTCAAAGACTGGTTTTGATCGGTTGCAACCGGTTAAATGGTCACGTGCGTTACATACCCTTGTAACCACGTTTATTACCTTTTATTGGGTTTTTGTTTCATCAAAAACGGTTAAGAATTGAGAAAGATATAACCAAATCCATATTTTACCCGAGTCTCTACGAGATGTAATTTGGTTTCAGTCATAGCTATGTCAAATCTTCATTAAATCTCTTCAAAATTGGTAGAATGACGGGTATTTACATGCTTTACTATTTCATATAACCTGTTTATTTTTCAGAGTAATAATAGTCAAGATACAAATGGTTTATAAAAAGACCGGTCCTAGGTGGTTCGGTTCGGTTCTCTCAATATCTGGGTCGGTCCTAGACCAGTTGCGGTCCACGGTTGCGCATTTTGGGGGCAAAAAACCGGACTGAACTGAACTTGCGAACACTAACCGTAACCAGTCCTTCCAAATCAAGAAACCTCAAATAACTGGACCGAACCACGAGAGACTGGTCTTTTGCAGTCTTTTGCAGTCACAAGACCGGTTTTGACTGGTTTGCAACCGGTCTAGACCGGTTTTCATACAGGTGAGGTGCCCATAAAACAATATTCTAAGTAGTTTAATGAATGAGGGGTTAGTGTATGCGACTTGAGTTAGACTATGAATTCCATATCCAACTCCTGATCCCAAACCAAAGAGGCATTGTCCTCATCGAGCATCTCTTCAAATTCAAGGAAAGGCTCAACCTCCTCCTGCTGGAAAGCCGTCCACACAGCCATATCATAGAGGTCAGGTCTCCAAGCAGACCCCATGATTACCAGCTGTTCAAAGACTGTTGAACCCAGGCATGCACGGCGGTCTGTCACAATTTGTTTGCTGCCCGAAAATAACTGCTCACAGGGAACGGACAAAGCTTGAGAGGGGAGGATGTTGAGCGCGATACGTGCAAGCATAGGGTATAATGTTACATTGTTCTACAGAATGACGTGAGTGACTAAAATGAGTCGAAAGAAATGCCTTACCTGCCACCATTCAACGAGATCAGTGTTCTTGGTGACTTCCCGTTGCATTGTACTCAAATAACTGCGTAGCTCTGCTACCCAGCCCTCTATTGTGTCGGCAGTGAGAAGTGTTTTGCAATTTTTGTCAAATTCCGATGTGTCGTCATCGTTGGCATCCTGGGTCCCAGTACCTCTTTGAATGGGAGTAGTGCGGGGGCAAGTGTTATAGTATTGCGCCATCTAGTTTAGTACATGTTGTCAGCATAAGAAATTCGTGTTAATAGAATGAGCAACATATAGTTTTCTCGACTATCTTTCTGGCCTCATCTTGCCAGTCCTTCACATCAGGGTTTCCTGCCGCAATTTCCACTGCTTGTTCGTCGGGTCCACCCCAAGCCATCTTGATGTAGGCGAGCTTGTAATAAGGGTGAAGCACTTTAAAAAGTTTATTAGTATGTGTCTTTCCATGAGGGGAATCAAAGTCTTACCGAGTGCCTGTACAAAACTGGGCTTTTCATTGAGACAGGAATAGTACTTACCCACCTTCTCTAGGCCATCATTGAGTGCATCCTTGTACAGGGCATATTTAGGGCTATCTCGCTTCTTCTCCCATGCCAATTGAAGTTGCTTGAGCGTGGGAAGTGTGTGCCACAGAGTTGGCTCCTGCTCCGAGGAGAAGTATTGTTGAATGTGATTAGAATCCTAATTGAATTTCATTAGTATCACCTCTTTTAGCAAAATGAAAGGACTTTACCACAAGTATATCATGTGCATCGACTACCCTCGTCCAATCTGACTCAACCATCTTGAAGGAAGACCAGGGGATGTGTTTCACAAGACGATTATTGCGCTGCAACGTGGTAATCAGGCCATACATCTCATCCGCCAAGCTAACAAATAATCTGATCAGCTGTCAATGAGGTATCAGTGAGATGAACATGTAATAAAAATAGTGATCCGTACCTGACGCAGTTTATTAGCTTGGTCGAGCATTTTGAATGCTGTCCCCCAATGGATATTGCTATGTAATGGTATCTTGAGGGCTTCAGGGACTCCGCAACACATCTGCGTACTGTGGAAGTATTCAATACGCTGCCTGGATGCTTGAATCTGCAGGTAGATATTATGAGACAGCATGTGAAGTTTCAGGGAAATGAGCATTCTTACCTTGATTGCAAGTGTCCAAATGGCAGCAATCACATCAAGGGAACCACCTAAAACACAATTATCAGGTCAGGTGGGATCATATTCCCAGATGGCTGTCGCATTTTTGACAGCCAGAATCTTCATGATGTGGCCTATAACGTCAACATTGCCAAGGTTGACAATGTGTCCCAAGCAACTATGTACAACGAAGTTCAATCAAGAAGAATAGAAATAAATGAACAAAATGTACGGTAGCTGTTGTTCATCACTGTTCCATTCGAGGCCTCAGCAGGTGTGAATATCTTGGATCATTTTGCAGGTAGTGTTGTTATTTCCTGTGTTATCTAATGTCGCTGTATACAGCTGATCAGAATCAGTGACCCGAATATCAGCAGGGTCAATGACAGGCGACAGTGACAGGACAAACCTTTGTTCCAGTTTTGTCCATGATCCCAATGCGGTCGAGCAAACCCACAGAATATCTTCCGAGGTTCTCCCCGCTATGTCCACCTGATAACGCCTTGAAGTCAATGACCACCGATTTCAGCTTCCACTTCCCATCCGCCACTGCAATCCAATGCGCAGTCATTCCCTGAAACCCTGCCTTCGTCGTATCGGCTGACCATCCATCTTGAGTTATCGACACCTTTCCAGGAGCTGCCTAAAGTAAGTCCTCAGCATTATCTGAAGCGTCAAAAATTGAACTTCTTACAGTTATTTCTTTCTTTAGCTGCTTCATGTGCTTGGTAAACTTGTTGTGAAGGTGAATCTTGGCATTGTAGGAGCTGGGAAGGTCATGTGTTGTTGATTTCGGCCTCATCGCCACCAAGGTGTTCCAAAACGCAAGGTTATCAGCCAGAGCAAGTGACTATGGGTGTGTGACAAGTCATTCATTTGAATGGAACATCAACAAATGACTTACTTGGTTATTAGTTGCAATCAACTTCGTGACTGCATGGAGGGCTGCCTCCCTTGTGAAATCGCGTGGTCCTGTAATGGTCTTGAAGTCTAGCAGTTGTTGCTGCTGCTTCTTTGTCAGTCAACCTCGGTGTTTAGCCTCCTTCTCCTCCTCCATGGTCTTCCAGATATTGTGAGGTATGGCCCAATGGCTCATCGGTATGTCTTCCTTTTCACATTTTTGCTTGTAAAGATCAAAATGCTGACGGATGTGTGCACGACAGGAAGAATTCCCTCCCTTGTGGAAGGCCTTGCACTTCCCATGTGCTTTGACAAATGCCTCATCACCCCTGGTCAGTAAGTAAGCATCTCCATGGAATGGTAGTGTGACGGCTTACTTGCAAACAGTACACCATCGTCCCATCAATGTATCATACTCATCTGCACTTATCTTGAACTTCATGGTGACTTTGTCAGTCATTATGGTCAGGAGGTTGAGCATTGATTCTTTTTTTACAGGCTTTTCTTGTAGGTCGGCTCCACATTGGTGGTTGTCAAGACCATCATTCTAGGATATGGTGAGTTAATGTAGCTTGTGGCAGGTGATAAGGGCTAACCTCTTGTTCATCAGCTGACTGCTCATCATCAACACCATCATCCACTTCCTCAACATCCTTACCCCACCGTTCACTGTCGTCGGCCACCTCCACCTCATCTGAATCTGGAAGGTTGAGACGCTGCTGCTTGCCAGCCTTCTTCTTGGCTCTGCGTGCTGACTCAGAGTCATCACCCGAGGAAAGTTCTTCATTCTCAGAGTTGTCGGAGTCTTTTATTGCCCATTTGAAGCTGCCCTGCATCGTCGCCGTTTTTGTGTTGCTCTTCTTTGTGCGCGGCTTCCCCGTTGGCTTGGGATCATGGAGCCTCGGCGGTATTCCTTTTGTGATCATTCGAGTAGTAATAGCCATTGTAGAGTTGAGACAGCAGTGTATTTAAAATTTCAAGTCATATGTGACAGCAGTGGATATTTGGCAATGCATTTTCTAAGGTTCTCGTCAAAAACATAGTAATTATATCCTAAGTTCTAAGCTTGGCCCCACCAGAGTTTGAAGGCTCGAAAAACTGGTCTTTAAGCAGTTAATCCGGTCTTTGCTCAGTCTTGAATTTTTGGAATCCATAGAGGACCATAGACCAAACCGCGGTTACAGTCTTTGTTGGTCCTCATAATTTGCGGTCTTGATTGGTCACGGTCTTTTTCCAGTCCTGTGACCGGACTTCCAAACAATAGATGACGCTGTTGTTCATCTGTTCTATGACTTTCTTCATGACACTGGTGTGTTTGCATGGATGCACAGAGGCAGCTTGGAGAGAGGCAGAGTGGATGAAGGGTTCAATTGTTACTGTTTTCTGGGTGTGGTCTGCTGACATGTCTTGGAAGATTTGGGAGGGGGTTAGTGGGGTGCAGTTCTGTTGTTTTCATTAGCTAGTGTAGAAAAAAAAAAGGGAAGAAGGTAAAGGCGAATCTTGTTGTAGCCGATCAGCCAAACTCGTGGAGTCTGGTAATACTTGTTGTATGTGATCATCACATCATACATGCAGACTTGAAGAAGATTGCCCTTTGTGACTTCTACATTGGCACTACAAAGAAATTGTCAGCACTCTTTCGGTTTCCAGCAACCCCAACAACAATATTCCTAGCATCAGCCACCCCAGCAGCAGCAGGTATAACTGAGGCTTTAGGCACAGCTGTGATCAGCTCAGATTGTGGGTTCATTGTATGTAAGAAAATGACGTGTCCAATAACAGGGGCCAAACTCATGCATCTCATCGCTGTCAGATTACAAGCAGGACATTGACATTTCAAGTCGAGGTGGGTCTGTTATATCCGTTCTCACTTGTCTGTATGCTTACCAACAACAGACTCAAGATTACAACGACAGTCACGACACCCAATGGCCCAACAGTTCAACATGCTTAGATGGTAAGCCCTCATTGACAGGAGCTCTTCATATCTGGTTTATCAATCAGTTACCTTTCAGGCTAGTGTTTAAAGGTTCAGTTCAGTCCGGTTTTTTGCCCCGAAAACGCGCAACCGTGGACCGCAACCGGTCCAGGACCGACCCAGATATTGAGGGAACCAAACCGAACCACCTAGGACCGGTCTTTTGCGGTCCATGATACCGGTTCAGACCGATCCAGACCGGTTTTTTTGCGTATAATTTATTATATCAATATAAACCATTTGTATCTCAACCATTATTACTCTGAAAAATAAACGGGTTATATAAAATAGTAAAGCATATAAATACCCGTCATTCTACCAATTTTCAAGAGATTTAATGAAGATTTGACATAGCTATGACTGAAACTGAATTACATCTCCTAGAGACTTGGGTAAAATATGGATTTGGTTATATCTTTCTCAATTCTTAACCGTTTTTGATGAAACAAAAACCCAATAAAAGGCAATAAACGTGGTTACAAGGCTATGTAACGCACGTGACCGTTTAACCGGTTGCAACCGATTAAAACCAGTCTTTGAACGGTTTTAAAAGATTTTCGAAATGGGGCAACCGGCAACCGGACCAACCCCAAATTGGGGCAACTGCAACCGAAAAAAAGACCAGTCCATGGTCCAGTTCAGTTCGGTCCACCGGTTTTTTGCGGTCCTATGGACTGAACCTTTAAACACTATTTCAGGCTGCCAGGCAAGCGCTCTGGGATCAGCCCAATTTTATCCAAGGGTTTCTCACCGCCTGCTTCAAATCCAGTGACCAGAACTATGTAGACATGTGGTTTTCTATTAGGGCAACAGGAAACGACACAATGGAACATCGATTTTAATGCAACCACCCCACCAGCTACAAAATCGGTTGGTATAACATCTGGACCCCTACAAAACCTTCGCATTTAGGACTGAATTGGATTGAAGAGTCGCAATTGGTATGTTGTCTATGCCTGTGTCACATTTCCATAAACCCTTCCTGCACAGATTGGCCCTACAATCGCTGTGTGATCACGTACAGTGTTTTCTGCTCAAATTCAGATTGCAAGGTTGCAGTCATTCTCGTTTGCGGGTGCGTGGCAGCATGAGAGCTCGCTTGCACAGAGTGGTCGATGAACTTATTGAATACCTTGTCATCTACAGTCAATACTCGTCTTTCGACTACGATGCTTTACTCACTCGGTTGTAACATGAATCAGCAGACTGCTAGGGACTTTAAGGGCTCTTCAACCATGTCATCTGGCGCGTTCAGAAGGGAAACATTTTTGGTCGAGAGCTACATGAAGGAAACTCCAGAAAGGGCATTGTACAAGCTGAAGCAGCCTGCATTAAAAGGAAGCTGTGTTACATACTGCCTTTCATGTATATCCTCCATTTAACCATAACACCAGCTCTTGGTCCTATACAAAGTCATTCTACTGGCTTCTCTTCGTTCAAGTTAGTGGCGCACTTGTCTTCTTTATTCAACACATCAGCTTCGCGGTTCATTTTTGTTTGGATTACGGCACGTGTATACAGACAACATAGTACATACTACATACTATCAGTGTCCGGGAGTTTGATATGATTCAGGAGTTTGAAATCCTTATGTTCCTCCCTCAATATTGACACTGGCTTACTGGGATTTTTTTCTGGACTAATTATGACTGTCACTAATATGAATATGAACTTTTTTTCTGCAACAACTGAGTTTGACGAGCGCAGGATTTTAAAAGGTGGTTTTCAGCCCATCAAAATGTGTGATGTATGCAAATGTTTTCTAAGATCTGATCTGATCCTTTGTATGAGGCTTTCTAAAAATTTACAGACGTATACTAGTAAACTATGAGACTTCAAATATGAGAAATTGAGCAGAAATACTAAGACCTCCACTTACAGTTCAATGAACTCTGATTTTCTGTCTGCTGAGCGTGACAAGCATGATCTTAGGCTTTACGGATTTGAACCCTGACAGTCACATCACCTATCAAAATTCTGACAGTTGGATGTGACCTGGACGTGACAACCATTTCAATCTCCTGAAACAATCGACTTTGACGACTGGTAAGCCTCCATCAGCTTCCAAAGCTATCCAATAAAAAAATAAAATAAATATTCATGTTCACAAGACACGTATGTATGACTGTGCAAGATTTGAATGCCCGGCGTGTAGCGGTTGTGGTACAATGTGGCCAAAGATCAATTTGTTTCAAAATCCTGGACACTGATACTAGTAGTAGACAGGAAATCAAATTGTTAAGTCACGCTTTGCCTACGCCCCAATCCTTGTCCTCATTGTTCTCGAAGGCCTTAACTGCACTTTGTAGCTCCTCCATACTCTCAGGTTTCATCTGATACTCCTTGATCAATTGTATGATCTTTGCCAGAGCTGCATCCCGGTCAAAGCAGCCTGCCAGCTTCACATGTTCCTTAATCTCCTTGTGAACTTTGCTCCTTTCAACTGAAATGCTGTAGGCCTTAAAGACGAGCTTGATCAAGCGGCGGGAAAGGCGCAGATGGGCATTCACCAGGAGGCCAAAAATTATTTGCATAATAATTATGAAGTCAACGATGTATGCCATTAAACATTGTAGCATGAGTGCCCTAAGGTTTTCTCACTTAGCATTTTAACACGGCATAGTGATGAAGACATATGATTGCTTGTACACATTGAAAATCCATTTTGCCAGCAAGAGAGACGCAACAATCGGAATCACAATGGGAGCAGCAGGTGAAGTTAAACCCCCAATTAACGCAGTCAAGCCACCAAGCAGTGAATAAGCACGGGGACTGACAAGTTGTAAAAAATAAGGTGGCACAGTCGACAAAATTGACATACAATATGGTGTTGGGATCTGACGGCTCGTCATATTGATTCCCAACAAGTTCGATCATTAGCTTTTTCAGTTCCTTGCTTTCCAGATACTAAGAGCACAGTTTCCATAAGTGTGAGAAGATGGAATGATGTTAGAGTATTTACCCCGCAACCATCTTGAATGTTCCACACTTCAACGATATCAGTATGTAGAACCTGAAGGCATTCTTCTATAGTTTTTCCTGGAAAATTCACGCTAGCTACGAGGCCCATCCAATAACCTGACAAAAAAAGGGGTAGCTTAGTTTAACTTTCACTGAGCACACCGAAAGACTCATACGCTTCTTCCCAACCCTTGAAATAGGTGTCAGCATGACATCAAGAGAAGACGAACGTTTGAATGCTCACGCAATCACCGCATCGATCTTTACAGCTGGATTCACGCGTTGGGCGATGGCGGAGACTAGCGCAACATCTTCAGCAACGTCAACTGCCAGGGTGTTTTTAACACAGTCAGTAGTGAGACGGACAAGCTCGTTCAACATCTTTCTGGTATCCTTGTATTCTTTATTGGCTGTGTTGGCAAAAAGTATAAGCACAGGCCCAAGATGTCTCTTGTAGCTTACTTGAGACGGCAATGTGCGGAATGTCTATACCGACGACAGTTGCGTACTTTTAGCCCCACAATCCATTGTTCCCGTTTTAGAAATTGTAGTGGTTGTATTTGGCTACACCCTCTCCGTCCCCCAAAATGGTTGTTCCACCCGAATCAAAATGAACGCAGGCCAACCAGGTTACTCTAAGAGCGAGCTGGTGGCCTTCATCTCACGGGGGTACTGTTGATGTGCCAAAGCCACTTCATGCCAGTGACGCGTTGCATGTGTTATGTCACGTTGATAACTTGACTGATTTCATCATGTGCTATAACGAGAAATTCAATGTATTCAACTAAAATTGAGTGTACTGATAGGTAGGTGCATAATAATAAGAAGGATAGGTAGGTGCATGATAAGAAGGATAGGTAGGTGCATGATAAGAAGGATAATGTAAGGAGGGGTTCACTGTGGGGTGAGGGGGAGCAGGGATGGAAGCTGAAACTGGGGATTGACAAGGAGAAGGAGGGATGGGGGCAGTAAGAGCAGAAGTAGGAGGGGGAGAAGGAGGGATGGGGGCAGCAGAAGTAGGAGTAGACATAGCCAGAGCACGAAGACATTTGATGATGGCTGCATTAGTTCCCGCAGCCTTCTGGTTGTGAAATTTCGCAACCTTATTCAATTCCGGGCGCTTGAGGCTCTGCAGGACTACAAGATCGTGTAGGCTGATGGCCGCAGGGTTGAACAACGGCACTGTTGGAGCATCCGCAGCTAGCGCCGATGTCAACGCTGGCGCTGTTGCAGCTAGCACTGATGTCGACGCTGCGAGAACCTTGTCGGAAACTGCTTCTCCTGCTCCTGCAGGTTGGGGTACTCTAAAATATATTAGATATAAGGATGTCAGCTGTATGAACTGCGACGCACCCAATGTCGATAAGCGGCTGTCGAGCATCTGGTCTCGCTTTTTTCCCTGATCGTTCCCCCCCTGCATACGGATCTGTGTGGGTTCTCGCACGTTTCCCTTTGACTTTGGCCCCCATTATTGATGCGGTCTCTGTCCAGGAGTGTTGGTTTGGTGCCACCCGCTTCTTCCGTGGTAGTAGAGACTTTGAGGGACCAAGAGAATCATTGACATTGTTGAGGTGTTCGCCAAGGTCCCGTAGTTCATCGGATATCTCTGCGGGGGGGTTAAAGAGAAGCTGATTTGCGAGTTCTTGAAGCTTTGAGGCGATTTGGACAATCTCATCGGAGTTGTTGTCGTTTTTGAACTGTTTGTCGCTGATGATCTCCTCATCGCCGTCCTCGTCGACATGTTGAGCATAGCCAGAAAGTGATGTCGCCGAAACGAAGGTGATGGTTTCGGGGAAGTGAAGCTGCACAGCACTAATGTGCTTACAGAAGTTGACCAATGGGAATGAGAGGCAGTTGCAGCGGTATGAGACAAGATCAACGTCATAAGCAAAATTCTGAATTGATTGTGATTTCACACGAAATGCTGAGGGGTCTTCAGCTGTGCTGATATCAGATTTTTGAATCGTCTTTGCACGCTCGGCAATCTCAATGCGCCTTCGAAGTTCAAGGTCAGGTCCTTCAAACCCAAGGTGTTGACGATGGTGTCTTGCCCTGAAATAGGGAATTGCCTTCTCAACGAGAACATAGATTAAATGGTCGAGACGGCGATTCCGCTTGCCCTCCATAAATTTACCTTTCAGTAAATGGTGCCAACTAAGAAAAAAATACGTTAGACCATCTCGTGGTGGAACAAAAAGAAAACTCACGCTTCAACAAGCATATTTGTCTCGCAAATCTCAAAAATAGTTCGGTCTTGTCTGAATACTGCAGACCACAACCTAGTCTCATTGAGCCAATTAGTGCGGAGATATCCAGTGAGACTTTCTGGTGCGAGCTTTTGGATTTTCGCCGAGCAATCGTCAAATTCTTCTTGTGTAGTCATACGTGGCCATTTCTTTAGTAGCGCCCATAAATCAGGGTAATGTGTCGTCACGAAATGCTGGTGCCATGCATGCAAAACATGCCACCAACAAAGGAGAAGGCGCGACTCGGGGTATTGCCCCTGAATTGCATTCATCTGACCTCGATCCTTATCGGACATGAATATTTTTGGTACAACATGTGAGTTCTGATGTTGAACCGTCTTCAGAAAAAACTCAATTGTCTCTTCCTGTGCGTTGGAAGAAATCATCCAAGCAGCAGGCATTCCTGCTCATAAAAATAAGTCTAGCATTTGTGGATTAAGAAAGTATTCAACGTACCATGACCCCACTTATCACGAATAAGCAGAGTAAATAGACTCATATTCTCGTAATGCGTTGTATTGTGAGTGGCATCCAAACCGGCAAAACGATGTCCATGGTTACGCCAACATTCTCGTTGATATCTCGTTTGTATGATGAGGATGAAGATTTCTCCAGCTAAATTGGAACCAGGGGGGGGAGCACTTGAAGATGTTTTCAAGCTCACGAAATGCCCCTCAGCCTTTAGCTTTTCAGCCCATGCCACCACGGAGGGTCCATCTCCACCCGCCAAGCGAATGGTCTCCTCCTCGATGGACTTCTGGATCCTGTAAACATCACGAAATGTGGTCAATTGCTTTCAATTAACGGCTTCTTCAGATGGCGAGGACATATTTAGATTGGTTGATTCTTTATATGCCTCCTTTCCGCGAATGGTATTGAGCTAAATCAAGAACAGTTTCACTCATTTGAATTTGAATGCAATTTACGCGCGTTTACATACCACTTCTTTGACCTCCATCCCAGAATGAAGCAACCTCTCAATTTCTGTGCGTGCCGCGTCTGGAAGACGCGTGAAGCACGCGTTTTCTTGCCCAATCATGTGCATGTGCTCGGATTGATACGCTCCAAGAACAACACTCATTCCTGGGTAGGTCTTTACAGTGAGACGACAGTCACAGCGAGTGCGCTTGAGTGGCACACTGCGCGTCCACCCAGGCTTCTTCTTTGTGTACTTGCTGGCTCCACCGGCTCCCTGGCGTGCACAAACGAAGTAGTGGGTCTCGACCCATCGCTTGTTAGGCCTCTTGTTACGCCATATCTCTTTTCTAACAAGCTCTATGTTCTTCCTTTCTTCCTCCGCACACACAAACGACTCCATTTCAGCCCATGAGTCCCACTGCAAGTCGTACCCATTCTCTCGATCATATTCGAAGGTCCCGATCAACTGATTGACAGGCGTGGAATGCGGTTCCTCAATGAAGGCAAGGCCTGGATCATAATTTGGAATATGGAAGGTCGTCGTCGAATGCGGGAGAGGAATAACGCACCCATGGCCCATCGTCAAAGTAAACACGTCAGCTGCATCAGAAATAGCGCACTCAGGAAAGATTGTCGAATTAAACGTGTCCGACGCGTCGGAATTAGCGCGCCGGTGCAAGGATGTTGAACTGGTCGTGTCAGATCCGTCGGAATTAGCGCGCTCGAGAGGGGGTGACGTGTTTGAGGTAAATTTGAACGCGAAAACAGACATTTTGCGACTTTTTGAGGGGATGATGACACTGAGAGTTGAAAATGTGGACATTTTATTGTTCTATTCTACTGTAGTTGAATGGTGGCCTCAGTGAGTTGAGCCAGGTCAACTTGAGGCATGTTCAAGGCATGTTTACGAATGGGAGAACCCGATTCGGTCTGGGGAGGGTGCAGCCAAACACAACCACCATAATTTCTAAAATGGGAACAATGGAGCGTGGGGCTAAAAGTCAAAAGCTCACATTGTCTGCAGAGGACGTCTGGGATGAGGAGGTCGCGTGGGATGTCCCACTCTGTGTGATAAGCGAAAGAGTGATTCCCTTTGCCCACCAGGTGGGAAGGTGAGAGGTGCAGATGGGCTTCTTCGGCAGAACTGGGAAGAGAGGAAGGCTCATGCATTGCATATACCCAGGGTTCAGTTGATCCAGGGATGAGGCTGTCCATAGAGTGCTAATGCTGAAGAATGTTCTTCAGGCTTAGCACCCTTCCGAAGAGCTTCCTCGACCTCATGGTCTGAGATCAGTTTCTCTTGTTCCTTTTCCATCTTCTCTCTGCCAGCAGGAGAGGCGTTATGGCTATAGGCGTGGACTATGTCGGGTTTTGAAGACCATGGTTGAGGATGGTGTTCCTTGAAGTGGCCATCTCGAACTTGAAGCAAACGGAACTGGTCATGAACATAGAGAGTCATTGGCAGAAGGTGTAGTGGAAGACGTTGTTGAAGAATCGGCAAAGAATTGAAGGTCGTGTCGAACGGCTCCTAGAACGAAAGAAAAAGGTCAGACAAGATGCGGAAAACGCAGAAAGAAAATACCAACAGGACGAATAAATCCCTCCTTTTTTCTTTCCCCCTCAGACTTGCTCAATGTCTTCGAGATCCTCATTTCAACATCCTCAACAAGCTTCGCGATATCACAAGGGAAGCTCTCTTTCAGATCTTCCTCCTCCTCCACAAGCTGCAACTCCTCCTTTGTGTAATCCTCTCTGCTCGCTTTCATCCACTTACTCCCAGTCGATGTCAACTGCAACCCACCAAAATTGTGCATACGTCGGACATGGTAGAAATCAAACAGCGTCGCACCCCAGTGCTGTACCTCATTGGCTACCATCTTCCCTAGCATGCTGTTTTCAGACAAAAGTGGCTTTCCCTTTGGGTCGCGAGGCCAGGTGGAAAAAATGAATCGGTGTCGAGTGGTTGGTGCCTGGTGACGACTTGAGGCGATCTTTTCGGACTGGGTGTGCAGGAGAGTGAGACGATCAAGGGAATCTTGTCTGGATTTATGGGGTCGTTTGCAGCTGAAAACTTGCTCTTTTAGTTTCTTGGATTCTTCTGGGGTGTAGGGAAAATCTTTTCCCCAATTGCTGTCAGAGCTCAAGCTGGGAATCGTGTCGATTTGGATGGCTAAGCCATTCGATAGCTCGACATCCATTTGGTCTGCAAGTGTGAGATATTATTGATTATGAATGCTGTAAAATGGACTTACAATCTGGTTTAGTCGTGAAGGTGGAAGAAAAATAATGAAAGAAAGGAGAATGACTCAAGTACGCCAGAAGATCAAGATCCTGCTCGCCCCTTTCCTCTCAACGCCTTGATCGGCGCGCATGCACAATACCGTACATCTAATATATAAAGAGAGGACGGTTGACAGTTATTACATAATAGATCATGTAAGCAGCCTCTTTGTCTTTTACTGAGCTGCGTCAGTGGCGTTTCCCAGGAATGTCACATGGTGTGACCACAACCACAGAACATTGCTCCCAACCACATTCTGTAATAGTAAATTTTGTATAGTGCTGCATGAATTTTTTGTGAGTGTTTTTGTGGTCACAGCAGCCTCAATTTCGCTTTTTCTGTACTATTTTTTACCCCCCACTTCCCTATATCCATTGATGGTGTATATTTCTCCTACTTTGAGATCTATGCAAATTAAATTTCAGGTGGATTTTAGTTGCTCAACAGATTTTCATCAGTGGCCTACTGAACTGTAATTTATGATGCATGGTATGGTACTGTGTAAGCCATAGCCAAGGGTTGAAAAATCACTTCAGTCACCCACTAACAACTGACTATTAGTCTTGCAAACTCCATGAATACTACGGGACTAAATGTCAGGGTGTATATCTATATTGTATATATTCTGGGGCTTGTATATTTCCACTTTTACATAAATATATTTTGACGTCCAATGTCACACCAAATATATTTCTAGTGTGTCACACACCCCAAAATATATTTCTTCACTGA